ATGATTTCCAAAGTCCATCCCTGCTCTGCCGGGCTGCAGTTCTGTTCTGCTCAGGTCCGTGATTCCAGAGGGATGGGAGACTTGTGGGAGGGGCTGGTGCTGGGGGACCCTCCCTCCAAGATGGTGGGACAGGAAAAATGGGAGCTGAGCTGTGAGATCCCAGCCCCATGAGAGTCATTTCTGCACTCCCCACCTCAGATCCCGCCTCAGCATCACTTGCTGGGTGGAGGGAATCTACCTCAGTTCCTGGAAGCTTTGAGACCAGGACAGGCGGACCCTCACGTGATAATTTCCCTCACGAAGAATTTGCCAGGAAGCTGATGTCCAGTGATCTTTGACTGTCCCCTCAAAAGGGACTATGAGTCTGGCTCACCCACTCGCACCACCTCCCCTGTCATCCTATCTTCTTTGGCATAGCTTTTTTTTTTCTTTAAAATTAATTGTGCAACTGATACATGAGTCTAACTGTGATACATGGTGTCTAACTGCGTCGATCAAACCGAAAAAAGTTAATGTTATGGGTGATACGCCCCACCTTCCCACAGACTCCCTGTTTCCAGCTTGGTGTGATATCTTCTAGACTTTGTGCCATGGTGTAAATACAGATTCAGGCGCACATGGAACTAATGGACTGTGTCGTCACTGCGTGTACGCGGTGTATGCTGTTTCACGACTCTGCTTGTCGCTTCTGACTGTGGCTTCCCACGCTGGTACATCGAGGACCATTTCAGCATTTTAACTGCTATAGAGTATTCCACGGTTGAAACATAAAACCGTCTCTGCGCTGAGAGACCTCTCGGTGCCTTTCAATTGTTCTGCTTTTCCAAAAGGCCACAGTGGACTCCTCTTCTTTCTGTGAGCACAGGGGAAGAGTCCACCTGTAGGGCCAGGCCGGGAAGGGTGTGCTGGGCCACCAGCCCCGTCCCCAGGGAGAGGGGCTCCCTTCTCAGACCTTCCCAAGGTGCAGAGCCTGGCCTAGCCTCCTCTCCCGGGCCCTGCTGGCTCAGTAGCAGCTGCTCCGGGGGACAATCCCATTTCCTGAATAGACTGTGAATTCCTAAGAGGCCTCACAGCTGCATCTCTGGTCTGGGGACAGGTCAGCTCAGCACGTCCCAGAGGGCAAGCAGGGCAGCTTTGGTGAGCCCTGAGGTGAGGGTCCCTTCCACACCCTTGCAGCTGGAAGCCCCCTCCCCAACTCCACAACTCCCGTGAGGAGTGGAAGTGAACACAAGTCAAGACTAGCATTTTCCAGCGGGCTTCTGTGTGTCCCAAGCCCCTGCCCTACATGTGAGAGGCCAGTGAGTGCCAACAAGTGAGGCCTGGCCACCCTGAGTCCCACCTGAGCCTCCACCTCAGGCCCTCCCTGCTGGGCAAGACCCTGCGATAGCAAACTCCCCTTCCGAAGCCACTTCCTCCCAGCCAGGCTCCTGGTCCCCCAGGGCTCTACCCTCCACAAGGGAGCAAATACAGTCCCTTTGCACACGATGAGGTCAGGAGTTAATAGCTGCTTAGCTATATATATATATATATATATATATATATATATATATATTTTTTTTTTTTTTTTAAGAACCCTAGTGAGACGTATTGGGCTGAACCATGGCACCGGACTGGCTGAAGAGGACACTTGAGCAGGGCCTGGGCTTCTCCCCCAGCCGGCGCCTCTGTAAGGCTGGTCCGCCTGGCAGACGTGCAGAGGGACTGAAGGAGGGAATCCTCCTGCTGATCTCAAGCCCACGAGAGCAGGTTTCTGTTTAGGCCATGCTCTGCAGAGGTTGTTGGTACCCACTGACTAGTAGGTCTCCCCACCAACCTCTGAGGGGGATGGCTCTCCCCTTTTATAGATGAGGGCACCCCCCCCACCCCGTTGGCCCCGCACAAGTTGCCGGGCAGGATTCTGGGCTCTTGACAAATATGTATTGAGATCCTGCCTCCCGCCCCTGTTGGGGACATGGAGAACCAAGCTGGAAAGGGACAGAAGCAAGTCCCTGACCTCCCTCGGAGGTCGGGGCAACTGCCAATCAAAGAATGAACCTGTAAGGTTAATAGCTCAGTGGGGTGCCAAATTGAAGAGAAAACAGGACATTAGGTAGGAGAGGAAGTGTGTGTTGGGAGAGGGGTGCTGTGCTGTGTGAAAGGAGGTCAGAAAGGGCATCACTAGGTCACATTTAAGCAGAAACCTGGGGGGAGTGAAGGAGCAAGCCCACAGAGAGCGGGGTGAATCAGTGCAGAAGTCCTAAGGCAGAGTGTGTCTAGCGGAGCTGAGAAATAGGAAGGAGGCAACGGGGTTGGCAAGATGAAGAACTGAAGGAGGTGAGGTCAAGGGGAGGAGATGTCAGGGACCGTCACATGGGGCCTGGGGGTTCCCTCAAAGATTCTGGTTCACAGCAGCTGTGAGGTCTCAGAAACACTGGCAGAAATTCCTGGAAGCTGGAAAAAAGCAACAGATTCTTTCTCTTTCCTAGGATCGTTATCCGTCATCTGGGGCCACAACAGTGTGGCCATTTTCTCCCCTTCTTCCTCCTATTCCCCCTTCCTGGTCTTCCTCTAACCTCCTCCTACTTCTCCTTTCTTCTCCCTGTTCCCTCCTCCTCCTACCACCTTCTTCTTCTTCCCATTCCTCCTTCTCCTCCCTCTCCACACCTGCCCCTGACCTTATCCCTAGCTGGCTTGCCTGCCTTCAGCAAGACAGTGGCTGCCTCCCAGTTGCAGGCAGGCATAGGCAGAGGACAAGGCCAGGAAAGGGACGGGAGGAAAGAGGCCCCCAGAGAGGCAGGCAGCAGCACGAGGGAGGACGTCATGGGGGCCTCTGACCGCTATTCATTTCAGTCCCCTGGTGTCTCCATCAATAACCCTCTGCCAGGACCAGGAGGGAGGAGTGAAGAGCGGGGAGAAGGCCGTGTGATCTGGGGTCTGGATGGGGAGGGATAGGATGGAGTGGAGGAGAGACTTCCTGGCACTCATGGGTCCTCCCAGCCTGGGGCAAGAGTTGGAGGTGGGGAAGGCGCAGAGCCCACAGGTTGCTGAGAGTTTCTGCCTCCCCGATATCTCTCCCTGCTTCCTTCCTCCTTTCTGTCCTTCTATCATACATTCCCTTCCATCTCCTCTCCTAAGGGGAAGGGAGGCAGACCAATTTCTTTCTTTCTTTTTTTTTTTAAGATTTTATTTATTTATTTGACTGAGACACAGAAAGAGAGGGAACACAAGCAGGGTGAGTGGGAGAGGGAGAAGCAGGCTTCCCGCCGAGTAGGGAGCCCAATGTGGGGCTCGATCCCAGGACCCTAGGATCATGACCTGAGCTGAAGGCAGATGCTTAAGGACTGAGCCACCCAGGCACCCCAGGACCAATTTCTATACTGGAAGAGAAGGAAGGGTTGTGTCCCCCCCACCCCCAGCAGTAAGTGGTGGAGGAGAAAGGAACTGCAGAGGATGCTGGGAGCACTCTGTTCCCCGGGGAGCAAGAAGCCAGAGAAAGCCTGGTAACAAGGGTTGGTGTAGGCTCCACCAGCCTGCAGACCTCACTGAAAGAGGGCCTAGGCCACAGAGCCTGGCACACAGTGGGCATCTGGGAAGTAGTTAACAAATGGCCAGAGAATGGGTGGCTTGGGATGGACATGAGGTTGGCATGGGATGGACCAGAGTGGTCAAGAAGGGCTGCTCAGAATCAGGGGAACTTGATCGGATTCTTGAAAGAAGGGTGGGATTGGAAGATGGGAGCATGGGCCAAGAAGGCATACCAGGTGAGAAGATAGTGAGAACAAAGGAAGAGGGGCAGTGGAGGGGAAGAAGCCTGGGAAACAAGGAAGGTGGCCAGGCTGCAGGGTGCCTTCGGAAAGCTTGAGGTGACAATCCCCAGGAGACTAAAACCTTCTGTTGGCCAAAGGTGGCTTTTTTACTTCCCCTACAGTCTAGGTCTTACAGGCCTCAGAAGCCACGCAAGAGGCCACAGGCACAGGCCACAGGCACAGGCCACAGAAGCCACAGGCAGAGGAAGAGGCCCCTGACACCCGGCAGTTTGCGGGAACTGCCAGAAAGACTCTCCTACTAGCAAGCATGCTCTTTGCTTGGTCACCATGCCTGAAGGGCTAGCAGAAAGAGTCACCCTGTGAGTTAGGTACATTGTTCTGTAAAATACAGATTCCCTGGTGAGGCACGTCAGTCACTTAAGGGGAAAACTATACTGGAGTGACCGCGGAGCCCACTGGGTCAGCCTTTTCAATGCACACATGAAGAGACTGAAGCCGCACAGGAGACAGAATTTGCCAGGGTCACCCAGGGAATTAGAGGCAGAGCAAGAGTGGGCCTCAGCTCCTATTGAGCGTTGGTGGGCTGGATATGCCCAAGAAGCCCTCTAACTGGAGGGGTGTGGAGATGTCACTGCACATGGGGTGGCAGGGGACACATGGACAGCCCCACTCACTTTATTAGTACAGACAGGCCTAGGGTCCTCCCTACAGATGGAGACTTTATTTGGCAGGGGCAGGTCTCGAGGGTCCTTCCATCATCCCTGATGGAGCAGCCGGCAGCACTCCGGAAGGGGCCAGAACAAGTTCATGGCGCAATGTGACTAGAGGTGGGGGTGGGGGTGGTGGAGGGCTGGGAGCTGTCCCTTCCAGGAGGTACTGGGTGTGGAGCTAAGACAAAACGGCGGGGGTGGTGGGTGAGGAAGGGAGGGAAGGAGGGAGGGAGAGGCCGAGGCACAGGGCACAGGGACAGGAAGGGACCCGCGGGGAGAGGGGGCGGGGGCGTGGCAGGGGGGGAGATGCAGGGTGGGGAGACTTCGGCGAGTGAGGAAAACAGAAAAGCAACGAGAGGGACAAAAAGCAGACAGACAGGAAAACGGAGAGGCAAGAAAGCTCCAGTGGAGTGCACAGGAGAGAGAGAGGTGGGGAGAGGGACCCAGAGCGGGGAGGGGCCGAGACTGGAGGGCGGGCGAGAGGGCGCGTCGGCGGCCGGGGGGCGCCCCACTGACCCTTCTCGGCGCTTGCTTCCCTCCCTAGGCTGCGCTTTCCTCACCTACTGCGAGCGTGAGTCAGCGCTGAAGGCCCAGAGCGCGCTGCACGAGCAGAAGACTCTGCCCGGGGTAAGTGGCGCCCGCCGAGGCGCGAGCGAGCGACGCGCCGACAGGGGGCGACTTCAGGAGGCCGGGCTGCGTCGCGGCCGGCCGGGGGGATCGCGGGCCCCGGGCGCGCGCCTGCCTTCGCTCGGGAGCTGGCGCGCCGCCCCCGGCGCCCCCAGAAGCCGGGAGGCGCGGGGCCCGGACGAGGGAGCGTGGGCGCCGGGCTCCGAGCTCGCCCCGCGGCTTCCTCACCCCGCCGTCCAGGCCCGACGGAATCCCGGGCGGGGGGCGAACTCGGCCGCGGCGGCGGAGCTGGGGCGCGGCTCCTCCCCTGGCCCTCCCGACGCCTCCGATCTGGTCCCTGCTCCGCGCACTTCCCGCGCGGGCAGCCGGGGCGGGGACGCAGGGTGCCCTGGGTCCCCGGAGCCCGGAGCAGGCTCCGCCGGTCCCACGGGGCCCCCAGTGGCGGGGCCGCCCGAGCGCCAGCGGATCGACGTCGGACACGGACTGCTCCTGGGGCGGGGGTAGGGGCCGGGGCGGGAGGGGGCGCCTCCTAGCCCAGGCTCGGCGCCGCAAGTGAGATCACCGCGGTTTATTTAAGGAGCCAGCCCTCGTCTTTGATAAACTATCGCGCCTCAGCCCTGGTTTATAGCTTCTGTGCGGGGGAGAAGAGAATTATTTATGGCCCCCCTAACTGGGTGTGATATCAGCCATGGCTATTATCGCGGCTAGTTCATCACCATAAAATAAGAAGTGTTCCTCGGGTCAAGGGTCTGCGCGGTCTCTCCTGTGGGTTCAGAAAGATGGGGTGGGGGTAGATATACGGCTCACCGAGTATCTAAAGATAAATGGAAAGATGTGAGTGTTTGTGGGCATTATTTAAAGAATTTGCAAATATACCGTGGTTAAGCTTATACAATGGACACTGCAGGGGAGCACGTGTATTCTGTGTGTGTGCTCACCGGTGTTTACACATGCATGTTTACATTCTTACCGAGCAAACCCGTATGTAAACACACGTTTCCATTTCTGCCCCACAGCGGGAAAGGTTAACCAGGTAGACAGAAAATGCAATCCTGGGTCGGGGCAGCCTTCCTTTGCATCACAGATCCTTCTTTACCCATTTAGGGGAAGGGAGGGCCTTCCTTCCATTAAGACAGCCTTTGTATTGTATTTTGGTACTTGTGATTGCAGAGCACGGGGCTGAGTCATCTTAATAACATACCCGCGGATGCAAATGTATGGAAATCGTGCACCGCACAGGTTTTTGTGTGGAGCCCAGCTCTGGCACGGTGGCCATTCCCCAGTTGGTTTTTTAGTGGCGCGGCTACATGCACATATATTATAGTAATTACTTTCTGGGTGCTCTCTGTAAGATGGCAGAAATATGCTCCACATCGCCCCATGTTATGTGTGAAGCATAAAGCCATATTGTAAGATAATCAAAGCCTTCTGAGAAAGGTTTGTGCTGATTAATAAAGTGTTTATAGTACTTTGTTTTGGGGTAGATTGTGATAGATATTTTAGAACCACCCAAATGGAAGAAAATACCGTATTGTTTTGGGAGGCCCTTCATCAGCCTGAGAGAGATTGCCGGGGAGTTTTGTGATGGCTAAAAGCTGGGAATTAGATGGGGAAACAGAAAGAGAAGGTGGGAGGGAGACACTCAGGATTTTGAAGGGGGAGAGAAAGGGGACTGGGAGAATTTCAGTAGCAAGTGCGGATTGTTCAGGATCTAACATTAACTTGTGGTTGTTTATTTTACATATAATAGAATAGCTAAATGATGGAGTGTATTAGTTCTTTAATAATTTATAGAAATACTTTGATGTTGCAGTAATTACATTAAAGGTCACATATCAAAGGTAATTTGGTTGAGCAGCTGTGATGGTTTCTCAGAAGCAATCAATACCACTGTCCGTGGTGCTGATTTCACCAAGGGGCCTGCCAGATTAAAGCAGGCTTATTACCAGGCAGAAAGGCCCAGGGGAAATCAGGAGCACATTGGAGCGACGCGCCAGCCCCCCTTCCGCCGATAATTAACACTGTTCCCCATAATCTGCGCTAATCCTTCATACTGGGAGATCCAGTGGCATTTTTCTGAAATCACAAAGACAAGTTGGGCAAGTTTGGGAGAAAGGACAAAAAGAAACGTGAATGTATGTTGGGAGATGGGAGGGGTGAGGAGAAGCCAATGGTGGGGCTAAAACATAGCCTGGAGTCCCCTTGCAGTGCCTGGAATGCTTATTCTTTCTTCAAAGGCCTCACAGGGAGACTCGTGGCCTCAAAGACCTCATCACAATTCTCAGGGAAGGCACAGCCTTGGGAGGGGGGTGGCAGGGAACGGGGTGGACGGACATAGAGAAAAGACAAGATTGAAGCTCAAACTTCCCAGGGCCTATTGTCTCCACACACATTCACATGGAAACAAATGAAAAACAAAATGACCAAATAAAATTATGCTTTAAAGTGGATTCCAGAAAGCAGAACTGGTGTTATTATTGTGGTTCTCTCCTTTGAGATCAGAGAAAGTATGATGCTAGCAAATGCAGGGACAGGACCAAGCAAAATGCTGTCACCCTAACCAAATAAGGGGTATTTCCACCAGCTGAGACTGTGCTCTTGGCCACCTGTTTGGTTGGGGGGAGCGCAGAGAGAGACCTCTTCTTGTTTGGCTTGACCACATTAGGTGCCCCAGTGAGCACACTCTGTGTCAGACTAAGAAGAAAGCAATTGAAAAAAGCACCTAGAAAACTGGTAACCTCAGCAATTTAGGCACTTTTCCAGACTTCAAAATCCATTAAAATCAGTCCATTAAAACCAGCCCTCCACTTTTTCACTGAAAAGAAAAAGAGGGGAGAAAATAGTGCAGGCAACCCATTCTGTTTCCCAGCAAGTTCCAGGGCTTGCCTGTCGGCAGCAAGGAGAACAGTAACATTGTTGATGCATGCTCGTGCACACACACACACACACACACACACACACACACACACACATACACACATCACCATCACCAAAAACAGCAAAACAACAGAGGTAAAACTAGAGATGCCCCTCAATATGGGTCTTCATTTAGGGACTGAGAAGGGAACTGACATTTCTCTTGGGGTGAGTGGAAGCTCAGAAACCATTCCACAATGGCTATTCTTGCAAGTCAGAGGTCAGTGTCCCTGGGAACCGCCCTGACCAAAGTTCCTGGGATGGCTGATGGAATCATTCCTGGACCAGTGTCACAAATGGATTATTATTTTTGAGTTCAGCATGACTTGGTTAAAATGAGATTATTAAACCATAAAAGCTCATCAGGGTCCTTTTGAAGCAGTATCTTCTGCCAGGATCTAGGCAGAGTGATTCCCTTCTTCTAAACTCTCCATCTCTATGTCTTCCTCACACTCTTGATCGCTCTTTCCCGGCCCCCTACCCCTCTTCAGCCCACCCTCTTCCATATCCAACATTTGTTCCCCTACTTGTAGGGTACAGCCAAAATGGGACAGTTTCTCAATCCATCAACATGCATTTCCTGAATGTGTCCTGGGCACTGTGCTAGGCATCCTGGCAAATACATATTTAGAAAAACTCATCCCTATCCCTCTTGGAGGTTTCCATCAAGTTAGAGACAGAAGCCACACACGTGCACAAAAATATCAACACTACAAGGCAGCAGGTTATTATAAAACAGGTAGTGTGGACAGTTGATCGATAAAAACAACTAATATTTATTAATTTAAGCATTACTATCTGAGGGACAGGAAGCAAGCATGTTACCTCCATTACCTCATTTTATCTTCACAACTACCCTAAAAGGAAATTATCAGGATTACCCCCCACACGTGTAGAAACCCAGGCTTAGATTAAGTAATTTGTCCAAAGTCACATAATTAACAAATGGCCAAGCCAGGACCAGCACCAGGACACCCACCTCTCTTTTTTAGCACTACCAGTTGCTTTCGGGGGGATCAGATGACTGTGGGGTATAGGAGTAGCTCAAGGTTTTGTCCAGGATACGGGCAGGCTGGTAATAGAGAGTCGGGTGAAGGACAGGTGTTTGAGATGAGCACACTGGTCTGAGAATCAGCCTGAACACAAGGCATGAATGACAGGTCAGGAGCTGTGAGCTGGGCCAGAGGGGTCCACTCAGAGAGTTCCCTGGGGCCTGAGTGTGCACAGGAGACCTCTTGGAAGAATTCTGTTCCTTAAAATAGGCCCCTGCTACTTAGTCTCAGCCCCCGTGCCTTTGGGACTTTGCAGGCAATTGTCTTCCAGGAAGACCCCATCTGTTTCCAAAGTTAGAAATGTAGGGCCTCTGGGGAGAGACTGGATAAGGAAAACCAGGCAACATGGCCAGTAGTGGCCAGCACTTTGCTCCTCTGACAGCAGAAAAGGCTCTTCACCAGGGCTGCTAAGGGGGAAAAGCTAGGTTCAATTAGCAGGAGGCCTGTGGAAACAGCAAGAGGAAGGAGGAGCGGACAGGAAAGAGAACAGGAGAGTGAGCTGGCAAGGGGAGGAGGGCATGGGGAGAGTGGGAGCTGTATCTGCTTGGTAAACATTAAAGTTCCAATTCACTAGTTAAAGATTGGCTTTTGTGCCCTCGCTCTGGCAACCCAAGAATACAAAGCAAACCAACATACTGCTCTCTGTCTGTGTCCCACCCCCAGCCTTGGGTTCAGCCCACTAGACATGTAACATCACTGCCATCACACCTCCAGACGCAGGTCCCCACAACTCAGGACCAGTCATTCCTACAGAAATTCAGTGTGACCTTCTTTGAGTATACCAGGAAAGATGTTAAAATGGAAAATTAAAAAACAAAACAACCCTAATTGGATTTCTAGCTGCACCCCGCCCCACCGGCCCCCGCAGGCTCCGGATGCCTCCTCTGTCTTTGCCCATCTTTCCTTTGCCTGAGTCCCGTCTTATCTTCCATTCTTTCTCTTTCTCCCTTTTCTCTATCCCTGTTTCCTCCTCCTTTCTCTCCCTCCTGGTCATTTTTCTCTTCCTCTTTTCCCCCTTTCGTTTTCTACACT